ACCCGATGTTCATTTCAGTAATGGTCTCTATTAAATGTACTATTGTTTTCCAGAATATTTGGATTTTTGGGCATTCCCACCATATATGATACACTGTCCCCACTTCCCCACACTCTCGCCAACACCATTGTGATTTTTCCCCGCTTATCTTACATTCTACATGTAATGTGCCATCTTGTCAAACATTTATAGTTTATTTCTACTTCCCTCAAACTTACACTTTCGTGCACTAATCTATTTATTTTTTTTGTTTTTCTTCGTCTAATACCACCCCCATATCTCTTTCCCATTTTACTATGTGGATTGGTTTTGTATTTGTGTCTAGTTCCGTAAGAATTCTATATATTTTGGCTATTCCGTGTTTCCCATCCCCCCGTGTCTCCAACAACCTTTCGAACAAATTCCAATCCTTTTTCATTCTCACAGGTTTTGGGAGATTTCCAAAAAAAAATTTAATTGGTGATAACGCCACTCATCTAACCTAGTAAAAATCTTTCCCTTTTCCTTTTCCAACTCTTTAAAAGACTTCAATTTCCCCTCCCCCATTATATCTCTCAGTTGTACATCTTCCTTTTTAAACCATTTTCCTGTTATCTCTTCTCTACCTGGGGGAAAAAAATCTGTGTTTCTAAGTGGCATTAGTATGGAATTAAATTCCCATTTCATATATTTGTGTAATTTATCCCATTCCCTTAAAACATTAACAGTGTACAAACTTATATCCTCCTTCAATCCTCTAAATTGTGCTGGTAACCATATAACTCTATTCAAGTTATTTCCACAAAGTGTATTTTCTATTTTTACCCAACTTTTCCCCTCTAAATTGAACGTCCAATCAAAAATTCTCCCTAATATTACTGCTTTATAGTATCTCTTAATATCTGGAACTCCCAGGCCTCCCTTCCCTTTCTCTCTACTTAATATTTCATAGGATACCCTCGGTTTTTTATTCCTCCAAATATATCTTGTTATCATTCTTTTTTTTACTTTGAAGAAGGCTTCTGGGAGTTTAATTGGGATCATTTGAAATCTATATAAAATTTTCGGTATTATTATCATTTTTACCAGGTTTATGCGTCCTATCCATGATGGGAATCCTCTTTCTAATGTTTTTATTTCCCCTTTTACTTCATTTACTAATGAAATAAAGTTTAGTTTATATAGATTTTTATGAGCCGCAGTAAGTCTTACTCCCAAATATTTTATATCTCTTTCTTTCCAGATGAAGGGGAATTCCTTTTGTATTTTCTCTTTTTCACTTTTTGGGATATTTATATTTAAGATCTCAGTTTTTGTTGGATTAATTTTTAGATTTGATAGTTCCCCATATTCCTTTAATGATTTCATTAGGTTTGGTAGTGTTATCCTGGGATTCCCCACATAAAACAACAAATCATCTGCAAAGGCCGCCACTTTATGCTCTATATCTCCTATCTGGATTCCCCTTATATCTCCATTCTTCCTTATTGTTGACAGTAAAGGTTCTAGGGACATTACATACAATAAGGGGGATAAAGGACATCCCTGTCTTGTTCCATTTGACATTCCAATGGGCTCTGTTTTTTCCCCATTTACTATTACTACTGTGGAAGGCTCCCTATACAACTTTTTTATCCATTCCCTCATTCTAACTCCAATTCCCAGAGCCTCCAAGGTGTCCATCATGAAGTCCCAATCTACTCTATCAAAGGCCTTTTCGGCGTCAATTGACATGACCGCCGCCGGTACCTCTCCTTTTTTACTCTTCTGAATAAGCATCAGGGATCTTAACCCATTGTCCCTACCCTCCCTTCCTGGGACAAAGCCCACCTGGTCTCCATGTATCCATTTTGGCATAAACTCCTTCAACCTATTTGCCAAGACCTTTGCATATAACTTGGTGTCTAAATTCAGCAGTGAAATTGGCCTATAGTTAGCACACTGTGATGCGTCTTTTCCTTCCTTCTGTAACAATACCACGTGAGCCTGTAACGATTCTCTCCTCATATCTATCTCTTTTTTACTTATGTTTTATGTGAGTTTCTAGTTCTAGAGAAGGAATTCAGGTACTTTAATTTTAGCACCTTTCATACTGATCAATTATGAATGTGAGTTAGGGACCTTAGATTGTACACCCCTTGAGGGTTAGGGACTGATGTGAATGTACAATATATATGTAAAGCGCTGCGTAAATTGACGGCGCTATATAAGTACCTGTAATAAATAAATAAATAATAATAAATAAATTATTTGTGACTTATGGGGAATTGTTGAATATATGTATTTATGATTACACCTTATATCACTAGCATATAATCATAATTTGTATTTATCTTCGTATGTAATATTGGTGTTTTTTAGGGAGGCGCAGCAATGCACCTATCGTAGTACAGCTCTAATTATTAATACATCGGGTTTTTTTTCTAATGCAAGCAGTGCAAGTATCTGAATTTGACTTGGTATCACCCTCTTGAAATGTGTACAGCAATGATTATAGATGAGAGGGAGAAGCAGCACAAAACTAGCCTATACTGTGTGCTGCAGATCAAGGAGCATGCAAATAGGAGGAGAGAACGGAGTGACAGAGAGATGATGTAAGATAAGTCCAATATGTGATAAAATGATAAGATCATTGAATGTACTATGTTTCTAAATTCACTGCAAGACACGCATTAGCATGCATGCACAAACATATTATTGGGCATGTTAAGCAGTGGGCGAGTAGGGACATGTGCACACCCAGCATTGGTATTTGCACCAAATGACCCATTTCAGCTGGATTGTGACATGAACAGATGGCTGTGTGGTTTTCATCTAGCTCCTGATTTACCTGTAACCTGCTACATTTGCCTTCTCATGTACAACCTGGATTTCCTGGGCCTGCTTTTGGATTCCTGTCTACCCATAGTGACCTCAGTCTGTATTGGACTCTTTGGACTCTGTATTCTACTTTCTGATGTGGTACCTTACTGCCTGCTTGTGAACTGACCTTGGCTGGTATCCCGACCATTCATTTTGAAATAGAAATAGAGAGGGTTAATGTATCCAATAGTGGCACAGACAGATATAAAAAACCTGACAGGTGTTCTAATCACATGCCTGACAAAAGGGCCCTGCATGGTCCTGATACATTGCACTTTTCCGCTGTGATGTGATTTCTCTGAATAAAAACTCTTGGGCATTACTTGAAGATCCATGGTGTGCTACCAAATATGTACGTTGATCTGTGATGTTACCAGTTTTCAGCTGGTTGTTGCTACAGTACCAATTTAATTTTCAGCCTATTCCAGGAATGTGAGGTACAGTACTTTTCAAAATTAATTCCTCCACAATGCCTGTAGTTGCAAATGTAAATGAGGGTTTGTTTTAAAGTACTTTTACTGCTTTTTCAGAATATGAAAATACTTTAATGTGTGTAGTCTGGGCACAGGTTAACTTTCAGTGTATTATATAAAGAATCTCAATTGGTCTTTGTATTAGCCTCTTGTACTCTCCAGCACATCAGCATTCACACTGGGAAAGAAAGATGCAGGTGTGTTAGCCAATAAGACCTTACTGCTTTGCACAGTTAAAATGTGTATTTAGCGGTTTCACCTATATTAACATCCGAATTAAGTTATTTTAAACTGTCTGGCTATATTAGGAGATAGCCCTTTGTTAATGTCTGGTTATACAAAAAAATTACAATTCTATACTGTGCTCATAATCTAAGGGAACATGGTAGATATGGTGTGGATATAACCTAATATAAAGGAGTACCTCGGTTTACGAACACCTTGGTTAACATAATTTTTGGTTTACAAATTAAAATCCATTGAAAATAATGGCTCGGTTTACAATTTTTTTTTCGCAATACGAATGGATTAATTGGTTTTCAATGCATTTACAATTTTTTTTAAGCATGTCCATGTACAGTACTATGCCTATAAAGTGCACTTTATAAAGAGTTTTGAACAGGTAAGACCTTTTTTTTACTTTTTTCTGACCTCCGGAATGGATTAATTGGTTTTCAACGCATTTATGAATTTTTTTAATCATGTCCCTTTATGCCTTTAAAGTGCACTTTATAAAGAGTTTTGAACAGAAAAAAACTTTTTTTTTTTACTTTTTTCTGACCTCCGGAACGGATTAATTGGTTTTCAATGCATTTACGAATTCATTTTTAATCATGTCCCTGTACAGTATTTATGCCTTTAAAGTGCACTCTATAAAGAGTTTTGAACAGATAAAAGACTTTTTTAAACTTTTTTCTGACCTCTGGAACAGATTAATTGGTTTTCAATGCATCCCTATGAGAAACCGAATTTCAGTTTACAAATTTATTGCAATACGAAAAGTCCCGCAGAACGAATTAAATTCGTAAACCGAGGTACGCCTGTGTCTACTTCTGCATTCCTTGTGCTGTATTTAAAAGGCAAACAAATTAATTTTTTTGTAAATAAATTGAAAAAATAATGTGTTTACAAGTAGTTTTTGCTACATGAAAATGAATGTTCCTCGATAAGCCACATCATCCATACTAATTACATCCACGTTCCCTCACATCGGCAGTGAGTCACAGGGAGTTCCGGTGCTCATCCATCACAGATGGTCTCAGGCTGGTCTAGTAGCTGTCTATAAGTAAACATCAATAGCTCATTAGTCAAAGTTGTTAAAAATGCAAAAACAGAACGGTAAACAGAGGTAAACACACTGCCCGGTATGCATTTTTAACTCATCATATAAGAACATCTGGCAAAACAGATCTCATTCTATATACAGTACATACACAAAGTGTCCACTTAAAGATGAATTCCAGGCATGGTATATTTTGACATAGTTATATATGTTATATACCATACCTGGCTAATGCCCAAAGCTAGAAATCATAACTACTTCAGTGATCACTACTTGCTTCTGGGTCTGGTGCTGAGTGGTCAGCCTGATGCATTGTAAACACTGATTGGACGAGGTGGAAAGCGTGAGGTCACCGTCCCATCTCTCCACCTTGTCCAATCACAGAACACTTTGCATTAATTCAGAATAGCTCTCAGCAGCACCAGACCCAGAAGCAAGTAGAGATCACTAAAGTAGTGAAGTATAGGCAGGGGCGGATTGACAACTCATGGGGCCCCCGGCAATACGGGGTCATGGGGACCCTGTGTCCTTGCCCACACTCAAACCACACCCAAAAAAGCCTATTAAAGGTACCAGGGACATCTCATGGGGCCCCCTATTGACCCCAGGCCCTCGGGCAGTGCCCGAGTTACACAATGGTCAGTCTAGGTATAGGTGTCTACTTCAGTGATTTCCAACTTCCAGGGGCATTGGCCAGGTATGGTATATACATAGCTGGACCAAAGTAACTATGTAAAAATATACCATGCCTGAAATTATTCTTTAAAATGTATGTAAACCTTATCAATCAACCTTATCAGTCTTATTTTCTCCCATTTGAATGGTTAAATATACAATTAAAATCTTTGTTATATTTGTTCATTGAGTACAAATTAATAGCTATTGATTCTGCAAGAAATCCAGCACTATCCTATATTCTATGATTATTACAATTTTGTTATTAAACAGTGTTATTAGCCCTGTCCAGGTTTTTTTCTGTCAACTACACAACACCTCCCCATGTTATGGAGATAAGAAGAAGAGGAGACATCCTAACAAACTCCTTGTCCTAGGATGGCAACGCTGCTCATCCATAAATACAGTACATTGCAACCCAACGACACAAACTATGATACTGGCAGAATCACCATTTAAAGGATAAAAGCCTGAAAAGAAACAAATGCAGCCACCACATTAAAGACTGGTAAGCTGCAATACATTATATTTTTTATTTTTTATTTAGATACAGTCTAAGCATCTATTGTCCCACAGTTGTTTATATCGCTTTAATCATAAAGTTTACAGCAGAGTTGTAGGCAGACATGAAATATCCCCATGTCATGCAGCAATGTATTCATCCAAACATCTTCTAAATGTTTTTTTTTAAATGGTACCTCAGTCTCTCCTTACATTAGCTTCATGTAGGTTCCAGCACAACATGATTCTGATTGGGATAGTTAAAGATAGCACTGTAAAACAGGCTTACTGCATTGCACAGTAAGCTGTCTGATAGAAGGGGAGAGCGTGGGGGCTGACCTTATTAGTGTGTCAATATAAAAGTGCAGCGTTAGACATACGAAATAGCTAAAATCTTCAATAAATTACACAAATAAAAGAAATAAACAGTATAAATATTGCAAAATTCCAGGTGAATAAGACGCTTAATCAAGCCTAAAAGAGAAACGTGATGATAAACAGTCTTATAGATAAGAGGTGTTCAAAAGCAGTGCAAGCTTGACTCGGTCAGGGTCAGCAGATACGTGCTTCACTTTAAAACTTCATAGGTGCCTCTCATTATAAAATCCGTGTGATTAAAACCTGTGCAGCAACGTATAAAATGCACACTCACCAGATGCACATAGGTTATGCGCAATAAATCAATATGACTCTGTAGGGAGCCCCTTTAAGTGGAACTGTCAGCCAGCCTGGAACAAGGATCCCTCCTCTGGACACCAGCCTCATCTGCAGCCAGGCTTCCTCTGGGGGTCTCTGTAGGTCTTAGCTCAGATCAGAGCCAAATGATATGAAAGCCTCATAGTGTAGTATAAAAGTATTACTTTTATTAATCTATAATCATCCAATATAAGTCAATAGCGAATATCAAAAGACACCAGGTGAAATAACATTTCAAAAACTTCCACATCAGCACATGTGGTTGATCTGCCAATATCCAAAATGACCACTGGACCTGCATCGGACGTTAAGGCTCCTCCTTGACATGTTTATTGCCAGTGCACGTTCTCAAAAGGGGTGTGCCTAACGTCGGACATCCATCTATTCCTTTTATACAAGCGGCGCGCCCGCGTATGCACATTGCGCGGGTGCCATTTTGTTGGAGGTGATAATCACAAATTCAAAATACGCATGCGCACACAGGCCTATCACGGACGGATCCACTGTACTTCCTTAGAAAGTATTTTGGGTGATCATTCACCAACAAAAACCTGCATAAATATTCATAAATCGACATGGTATGCGGAAATCCACACCCATTGTGGGTTCATCTGTAAATAATAAGCCATACAATAAGGCAAATGAATTCTTAATTAATTAGAATAGGCAAAAGGTCAATTAATATCCAAATAAAAATGTAGAAGGGGAATATATATATATATATATATATATATATATATATATGGATAAAATTAAAGGGAAAAGAAAAATAAAAAAGGGGGGGGGAGAAAAACCCCCCTTAAAAGCCTAAATAAAATGCAAAAAACAAGATAAAACCACAATGTGCAATCGTGCGGCAAGGTATTCATATAATAAAAATAACTATAAATAGTAAACCTAAACAAACGCAGATATACATCATAATGAGCTCAAATCCTTATAAATTATAAATAAAAAGTAAAAAAGTAGAAACAATGCATATAAAATATCCAAATAGAATTGGATAGGAATGAATCCTAATCCTCATAAAATATATAAATTTATAAATGATTATCCCAGAATATCCCAGCATATAAAGTCTTGAGATAATATTACATAACACAATGAAACCGTATGACATAGATAAAAATTAATGATATAGAATAGAACAAACATGAATCTCAATGTTTATAATACAATCTGCCAATAAACTTCCTGTAGGGGGATAAATGGTATAAATACACCCATACTCTCCCGATGGTTGAAATATACATTATCACGATAGTTGGGTGCGAATATGAAATTGAATAGAATAATCCAAAAGGTTCAAACAAGGTTCAGCTGTTATCTATAAATCAGTTGATGTCTAGATCTGTATTTAACCCTTGTGGATTTAGAGATTGGATTTCATAGATCCACTTGGTTTCTAGCTGGGAAACTGCCCTACGTTTATTTATACCCCTCCAGTGATGTTGGATAAGGTCAATAATTCCCGTAAACTTCAGAGATGAGGGATCTCTGTTATGATGATATCTATAGTGCTTGGATAAGGAGTGCTCTTTTAGACGTCCCTTAATGTTGTACACATGCTCCCTGAGTCTGTCCCTCAGTCTCCTTGTGGTCCTTCCTACATACTGCTTATGGCATGGGCATTATAATAAGTACACTACATACCGACTATTACAGGAAATGAAAGGGGAGATTTTGTACTGTTTCCCTGTAGGATGGAAGATAAAAGATTCACTCTTATTTTTCCTTACTCCATTGCACTTACAGATCACACATTTGTTGCAGGGGTAAAAACCTCTCATATCAGAAAAAAGCGATGTAATAGTAGGGGGATCAACAATATTTAATGCTATTTTTGTTCTGAGCGGCATCGCTTTCCGAAATGTAATTTCAGGCCTATCCGGGAGCAATTTAGACAAATTGGGGTCTGATTTCAACACTCCCCAATTTTTATTTATTATTTTCCTTACTTCCCTGTGTTGTATAGAAAAGCTCTTTATAAATGGACAGAATTTATTCGTTTTTTTCTATCTTTGGTTGGGTAAGCATCTGTTCCCTATCCATATTAGCAACCTGTTCCACTGTTCAGTCTAATACTACCTCTTCATATCCTTTTTCTAAAAATCTCTTTTTAAGGGTGGCTGCTTGGAAAAAAAAGGTCTCCACAATTTCGTCTAATTCTCATGAACTGTCCTTTTGGTATGTTGGACAGCCATGAGGGGTGGTGGCAGCTGTAAGTAGGAATATAACTATTCCTATCTGTATTCTTAAAGAAAGATTTGGTTATAATCTGTGTTCCCTGATTCATGAGAGTGAGATCCAAAAAATGTATTTCTTTCATACTGTAAGTGTATGTAAGTTGTATGTTAAGGGTGTTAATATTTAGGGTATCGAAAAAGTTTATTAAGGCTTCCTCTTTCTCATGCCACAGAAGAAGAATATCGTCAATATAATGTCTACAAAAGATTAACTCTGGCCAGTCCCTAGCATAAATCATATCTTCCTCCCATCTGACCATGAAAAGATTTGCCAGGCTGGGGAAAAATTTAGCCCCCATGGCTCACATGACTACTTATTAGTGTAGTGTGTACCTGCCCCTCCACCATCTAACCATAGGCTGGAGTGGACATTGACCACCTACTGCAGGTGAGAAAGGAGAGGTAGAAATCTGGCTTTACTGTCTGACAAGGTAAAAAAAAAAAAAAAAGTGAACAAACACAATTTTAAATTGTAAAGCACTCTACACTTATGTATTTCCCCTGTGCGTTAATTTTTTTGCCTACAATTATACTTGTCCATGGACATTAGAAGGCAGTTGGTTGTTGTTAATTAACCCCCAATCTTCTCCCAAAAGGCACAAAAGTATCATATGAACACAGTGTGAGCACATAAGCAGCAGATGTGTACTGCGGGTTAAAGCTTATGTTAATGGCATTTGTCCCCATTTTGCAGGGATAGTCCATGTTGAGAGGGATCTGTCCCCTGCAAACAGGTAGCATAGAATAAACCTTGCAGCAACATGGACTGATGTGGTGCTAGTTTGGACTGGCATGCAGTGAGGCTGTTGAGTTGGCTCCTGTCCAATGCAAGGGATAGTCTACACTGCCAGGTGCCTGGGGACAGTTGTGAGGATGTCCAGAATTGTCTGTTTCTGGTTGACTGGGAAAAAGGGGGGAGGGTGATGGATGGAAAACTTTCGAATGAAAGAAATCAGACACAACCACCAAGCCAAAGGACAGGGTATATTTTAAATTTACTACAGCTGCACTTGTTTCCCAACAACCTGTGCATTGCTTGTTCCTAACCTGATCTCGGCTTTTACTGCATTATTTGCTCCTGACCTGACCTCTGCACTTTCTATGTTACTTACTCCTGACCCCTGCCCCCTTTTCACTCCTGACCCTGCCCATGCTGTTTCTGCTTTACTTTCTCCTGACCCCTGTCCTTTCTGTGTTACTTACTCCTAACCCCTGCCTTCTCTGCATTACTTACTCCTGACCCTGCTCTTACTTTATTACCTACTCCTGACCCATGCACTTTGTGCAGTACAGACACTGATCCATGCACTCTGTTCATTACTTACTACTTACCCCTGCAGTCTGTGCATTACTTACTACTGACCCCTGCACTCTGTGTTACTTATTCCTGACACACAACAACATAGGCTCGGGTTTTAAATTACCATACCCCTTTAAACCCTTGCCACTGTTACCAGAATTTGGCCACACTCACAATTCGCTGCAATGTTCTGCGCTGTTGCATATTATTCCTGTGCTCATTATGTCCA